ATCTCCCCAGACTTATCCAACGGCTGTGAACATTTAAAACTAACATGAGTCTCTACAAATGTCCAGTTTTAGGGTTTTACACAGAATTAAACCAAACAACRTKAATCAAACATGYACTTTATTTATTTCCACTAAATAACAAAAGTACATCAAAATGATTGAAGTTAAGGGCATACAAAACTGTCTAACAGAGATAACATAATTTGTTAAGAATAGCTTTGTTTACCTTCTATTATAATTTGCTTCAAAGTTGGCATAGAGGATCTTATAGGAGTATCATACATCAAACTATTGCTTCTATAGAATTCGACAATTGAAAAATTAACAACTAGTAAGACAAACAGAACGAAACCACCTGCTAGACTACGAAAACAAATTAATATGCAAATTGAGCACTGTCAATATTAGGAAGGCTCTCCCTTCTCAAATACAAACAATGATCATCTCTGTCCAATTCCCATCCATTTGTAAGAAGACCCAGTCTAGGCACTAGTCATAGCTGCACTGCATAGACTTCTCAAATCCCTCAGCTGCAAAACTTGCTTTCTAGGTATCCTCCCCCCCCCAAGGGTTACAAGAATATAAGAAAGTATTTTATGCATACAAGCCCAAAATACTTGGTTTTACTTTTTTACACGACTATAATAATGGTCTGAGTACACTTTTTTGGAGTAGGCCCTTTCAGGTGGGGCCCACCCAGTAGTGGGTTCTGTAGAGAAGATGGGCCGAATGGCCCATAGGTTGTTTATTCTTTCTTGTTATTTATGTTTATTTTCTGTAATGGGCCTTATTCTGGGCCCATCCTGTCTATATTAAGTTCTTTGTAAATTCTTGCCCACCTAAGGGCCTCCTTGTAATTATTCAAATATATCTTAATAAAAGAATGTTAGGGTGCTGAGAGAGGGTAGGTTCGAAACTCTCATTCTTAGACCCTCATTGCTGAATTTTTTCTTCAGGTTCTGATCCTTTTACATTTGACATGTCAGGAGTAAGAGGAGCCTTGACCCAACTACAGGTCTAGTAGTCCACATAAATTATTTCTATATAGGATACAAAGGATGCTTTATTTCTAGAAAAGCTTTCTCAATCATCTTTACCTACTCTTCCAATGACATTGATCACTTGGGAAGCTTGTCCTTCAGCAGCCAGCAAGAGTAGTAAATTAAAATTTAATGTATTCTAAGTTTGTGAGATGCAGAGCTGCACAAAACATGATTGGATATTGGAGTATGGAGAGAAGCACACAGTCCAGCTGAATATTGAATTTTATTTGGAGATCACTGTTAATCCTTGGTGTCCAATTAGTGGAGAGAAGCTCTTTTTGCTTGAATCAAGGTGTTATCGATATTTAGACTGAAATTTATAAAATATAAATGCAATACAGTGCAGAAAAGGTTCAGTGGAACTTAACCCAAATCAAAAAGCAATTAAACAAAGCAAACAACTCCAACATTTTCAGATCTCTTGTATTGAGCAATTACACATGATTCAAGACAGGTGAGAAGCAATAGATTCTTTATCTGACAGAATTTTTACATGCTTTAGGATTCATGAAAACAGTAGTAAAGGATAATGCAAATGATTATGTTTGTGGCTAGTTTAGATATCATACAACTAGATTAGTAAGGTTTCTATGAAATCCCTGACAGCTCTCACTTCATGCTTAGGTACTTGGGATCCATCATTTCCATCAAATAAAGACTATGGGTGGGAGGTTAGTATATTCAGTATCAAAACCCAGGGGGAAGTTTCAAAAGATGTCAGAACCAAAAGAGGTCCATTCAAGTCATCCTATCACCAAAACAACCTAATCCATGTTCACCGTAGACATGTCTGATTTCTCTGTTCTATGGTTTATTCAAAAAAGTATTGGATATTCTAATGATTTATTCTTTTCTATAGGCATGTCTATGAGTCGTCGTTTTTAAGTCTTGAAGAGCTAGACTGCAGGGCACTCATTGAAGTGATATTGATTATGATGATATATTTTCCACCCCATACACCAATCCAATTCACCAAATGACCAAATCACAAATCTATGTTGACTGTTTAGTCATGCCAGACAAGTGTACCCAAATTTAATCCTGTGTTTCATCCATTCATCTCAAATTCATAATTCATTATTGGAATCTTCTTCAAAACTGAGTGCTGATACAGAATTCAGTGCTGAATTTACTTTAATATATAAAAATATTGAGACTCTGAGCATTGATTACCACCAACAATTTTCACATCAATTGATCCATAAAAAAAAATATTATGATAAATTGGAAGTTATAGTGCATAGATCTACGAAAAATTGGAGTCCAATTATGAACACAATGATGAATAAGCAAACCAGAACATTCGTACACAATATTCGACAAAAAAACCAGATCTGAGTTCAAAAATTCTGAAAAGGAAACGGTCCCACCACCCCCAACAACCTTATTGAAGAACCAGAATCAAGGTACTCCAATTAAAGAAACATCTGCACAGTATAATGTCTCAAAAGACAAACAAACAAAGAAAAAGAAAACCTCATAAGATCCTAAACCAAAACTGCTTTCATAAACAGAAAAAAAAAATTTATCAAAAAATAGAAACATTTTGAACCAAAAGGGAACAGAGAGACAAATAAAGCACAGAGGGAAGACCAGAAGAAAGAAATACCAGTCAGTTCCGAGTCCAACTCATGCACAGGGCAATAATCTCCCTTTAGATATGCCTTCAAGAATGGATCAATGCTGCTGTAATGGAGGTTGAAATGAGGCAGCAGACAATGCCAAATGAGTTTATCAAGATTTGGTACAGTTCATCAGGTGAACTAGGAAACTCTTCCCAGTGTTTGATCACATCTGTTTGAACAAAATTTTCAAGTTGATATCTCAACTTGATTGAAGGAAGAAAATGGAAGAAACCAGAGGCACAATAACAGAGACCACCAGCCGAGAGAGTCAATATATATACACATCATCATCAGATGGCATTTACAAGAATACGAACTCCCCCTATAGAAGGGAAAAAAAGAAGAAATATTTAGGTATTCTTTCAATAACTCACAAATAAATTTCATCTCTCAACAAATTAAAACATGTTCATCCAGCAATCAACTTATCACCAAAAACCCTTGCAAGAACACTCCCCATCTTTAAAATGGTGAAACCTATTCCTATCCCTTACAATGATCTCTCTGTTGAAAACCCTAGATATGACTTTTGTGGCATCATGGCAATCCCCACAAACCCTGAGGTTCTTAACAATCCTTATTGGCACACCTTCATCCAGACTGATCAAACCAAAAGCAATGGCCACCTTCTCACTATGCCTACACAGAGCATCTTCTTTCTCTTCTTCCTCTATATCAAAGAGCACAGGGTTAGTATTAGCCACATACCCAGCCAGTCTCAACCTCCTTGAGATCTCTCCCAACATCACCTCAATTTCACCATACCTAGGATGTGATTTGTCTCCCATAAAGAACTCATGGACTACACCCCCAACTTCTATGACACTGCACCCAGGAACCTTTCTCACCCCTTTAGCCTTCATTAGATGCCTAATGCTACTGACCCCATCCCAGTTTTTAGAATCTGCATAGATGTTCGATAGGAGCACATAGGCGCCATCGTTCTTGGCCTCTAGTTCTACTATATTCCTCAGTGCAAGCTCACCCAACTCCATGTTTTTATGGATTTTACAAGCGTGAAGCAAAGCCCCCCAAGCTCCTGCATGAGGCTTCATAGGCATGTTATTGATGAAGTTAAAAGCATCATCCAACCGTCCAGCTCGGCCATATAAATCAACCATGCATCCGTAGTGCTCAAGTTGAGGCTCAAGCCCATAAACTTGGGTCATGGACTCAAAGTGCTTTCTACCTTCCTCGACTAGTCCAACCACACAACAACCTCGTAAAACTGAAATGAAGGTTACTTCATTTGGCTGAATGCCGTCTTGTTTCATGAGGGAAAAGAGCTCAAGACACTTCTCACCAGCACCATTCATTGCCAACCCACCCATAGCACTACTCCATGTGTAGACATTCCTCTCCTTCATTCCCCAAAATACATCCATAGCTTTACTCATGTTACCACACTTGGAGTACATGTCTATGAGTGCAGTCCCTAGCGTCACGGTCATCTGAAGCTTGTTCCTCTCTATATAAGCGTGTGCCCATTTCCCCTGATCCAGTGCACCTAAATGGGTGCAAGCCGATAGGACGGAGACCATGGTTGCCTCATTAACTTTGGCGCCATCCATTTGCATTAAGTGGAACAAGTCCAAGGCTTCCTTTGACCGTCCGCATTGAGAGTAACCCGCGATCATCGCATTCCAAGCAATGGGATCCCGATAAGGCATTTCATCGAAAAGATTCTGTGCAAAATCAACTTCACCGCACCTGGCACAAGCACTCACCATGGCCGTCTGAGACACCAAATCTGGCTCCCTAATTTCTGAAAATAGCTTTCGAGCTGAACCCAAGAAACCCAATTCAGCATACATATTGATCAACCCGCTCTGAACATGCCGGTTCGAATCGGAACCGTGTTTTATAATGGCAGCGTGAACGGCCAGGGCAGCGTCAGACGAGGAGACCTGTGTACAAGAGCGGACTAGGAAAGTGAATGTGTAGTTATCAGGGGTGTTGGATTGGAGAATCCGGTTGTAGAACTGAAAGCCTCGTTGAGGAGTTGAGCTTCTAGAGTAAGCTCTGATCATGGAGTTCAAGGCGAAAACAGTTGGATTGTGGGATTGATCGAGGAGCTGGTCGGAGTAAGCAAGATTGTTTTGGTGGTTAAGAGCTATGGAAGCAACAAATTGGCCAAGACAGTAAGGGTCGTTAAGAAGGCCGTTAATGAGCAGTTGGGCGTGTATTTGCTTGATCTCTCTGAGGCCGGTGCATGATTCTACCAAGGTCACCGTTGGGTGCGTAGCCATGTACCTTATCATCATTCTCACTAATCAGGTGACCATGTCATGGGTCTGTTTGTGAACTCTGTACCTCTGCCGCTTTACTTTTTACAAACTGTTTTCAAACTACTTATACAGTTGGCATCCGTGGGAGATGTCTTCTTAATGCATGCCCGAAATGTGCTGTAAGGTTGGTATGAGGAGCGCTCCTGAGAGTAAATCCGAATTCATTTCTCCATTGCATCATCTAAGGTCAAAGGTGATGTTTAAATAAAAATAATTAACATAATTAAAAACAATATAAATTTGTTAATTGACTTAACAAAAATTATTTTATTAGTTAAAATTGATATAAATTAATAAAAATATAATTCAATTAAAATCGAAAATTTTATTTTTAATTTATCTTAATAAAAAAAAGTAACTCTCTCTCTCTCCCTAATCCCTTTGTTTTTTTAAACGTTGGACAATATATAACCCAATAATAATGCTAAGATGGATAGGGTTCAGCTTGCTCCAATTAGAAAAGTCCTAAGGGTCCGTTTGGTTTGTAGTCGAAATTGAAATCGAAATCACAATCCTTTGGAATTGGAATCGGAATTGGAATGGTCCATTTACATAGTCTGTTTGATAGGAATGAGAATTAAAATCAGCAGGAATGGGATTTCATTCCCAAGGGAGGAGCAGGGAATGGCCATTCCCTCAAATAGGGGAATACTATTCCAGTAGAAATGGGAATGAGATTCCGATTCCGCCCAACCAAACATTTGGAATCGGAATAGCCCATTCCGATTCCGATTCCAGACCCCTATTCATACAAACCAAACAGACCCTAAGATTCCCATCTAAATGTCACTTAAAAAATCATGTGCATCACATTTAAAAGTAATAAAATATAATAAAAATGTAAAATTAAGATAAATAATAAGAATAAACACAATTTTATCTAACAATATGTAACTCAAAAATAGTTTACCACTTGGCCCAATTAATGTTGTCATAATAAGGCCCCTACCACAATTTCCTTTGACAATAGTCATGCATCACAGGTGGCCCAACTATATATAAAGCCAAGTTGTCCATGTGCCATCCTTGTTTTCTTCAAAATTTGATCCAAAATTCTTATTCCAATTTTCTCAAGTTTTAAAGCCATGTAATTGGRCATTGAACCAATAAGAAAACAACATAGGCTCTTGGCGGTATGTTTATTTTATCAAGTGTGTTCTTCTTTCCATGTCCTAAAAGCATTCTTAAAATCTCTCTCTCTCTCCTAAAACATCTCCATCTTTCTTACCCCAATTCTTATATCTTCTCAAATTCCTAAGATCTCTCTCTTTAAATATCTCTTTTATGTTTCATTTGTTGGTTTGCTAATCCCTAAAGGATGGATTTGAGCTGAATTGCTTGAGATGTCAGCACATCAGCTTTGATCCCCCTCCTCCCAATTCATTTGGTGTTTTTTTTTTTCTTTTTTAATTTTATTCCATTGGAACTGAGCATCTTGAGTCTTGGCCATGTTGTTGAATTTCGAGAATTCATTTGATCCTTAGGCTCAGTTTGGAAGGAGTATAAATGCAAATATGTACAACACAAATACATACAAAATAATGCAAAATGCAAGGTTTTGCAGTGTACATATTTGTATTTGTACTCCTTCCAAATTGAGCCTTATGGATGCTATCAGCACTCCTCTTTATCAAAGGCTACATTAATTTAAGCCAGTAGGACTAATTGAGAATTATGTATATACTTCAATATTGATTCTGACTTGAATACTTTTGTAAAGATCAAATATTTAATTTAGGCCATGTTTGGTTCACTGCTCTAAACCTCATTCTCTTAATTCTTGCTCATTCTAGGCAAGAATGGATAACATTAGAGTGTTTGGTTACAAAGTTCTTGCCAAGGGGCACACTCTTTTTAGAATGAAAAATTAGCTCCATAGCAAGGTTTAAAATTTGGATATGATACGCTCAATACGGGGCGTATCATATCGTATCTTTGAAAAGTATATATGGATACGCATGAAAGTCGGGTGTCTCGTCTTTTTTTTTTCATGTGTATTGGACCCATATCAAGGCATATTGAAAGTGTATCAAGGCGTATTGGGAGTGTATCAGGGTGTACTGGTAGTGTATCGATGAAAAAGATGCAGTCAAAAAGTGAAAAAATAAATAAAAGGGGAAAACAAGCTTCTTTTCCCTAAAATAAGCTTTCTTTCGCCCCTAAATGACTCTCTAAAACTCCAAACCTCATTCCTAAAGTGTTAGATTTGCACAATTTTGCAAGAAACAAGTGTGGATCGTTAATTTTTTGAAGAGTTTTCAAATTTTAAAAAATATATGGCAAAAATAGGTAATTTTTTTCAATTTTTTATAATATCTTGTGATACTTTTTTTTCTTGAATGTTTAAATTTATGTTGATCTACATTTCTTACATTCAAAATCACTTTTTTTTTGTTATCAATAGATTTATGAAAATTTCATGAAGATATTTGGGGAAATTATAAATTAACAAAAAGTTTGAAAATATAATTTTTCTCTGCCCATAAAGACTAAATATATTTTAGATCTATGGATTTATCTATCATATCCATAGAGGAATTGAAATTTCTTCTTTAATATTTTTTTATTTTTTATATTTTTAGAATTAAAAGATAAATAGTAATTAATTACATTTTATCATTTGATCACAACAATTGAATATATTATAATTCTATGGATGATCTATCATATCCACTAACCAATTGAAATTTCTTCTTTAACAATTATTTTTTATTTATATATTTTAGAAATAAATAAATAATTATATTTTATCATTTGATCACAATGATTGAATATATTATAATTCTATGGATAATATACCATATCCACAAAGCAATCGAAAATTCTCCTTTAATAACTATTTTTCGAATATATTATATAATTTTTTATTTATTTTTGATAATTTTTGGAAATAAATAATAAATATTTAAATAATAAATAAATATTAATTATATTTTCACTTAGAAGTTGTGCTAATGCATGTTTTATGGTTGGATAGGAGAGTTGGGTTTTTCCTATCCCATAAAACATTAAAACTTAAGAATTATATTTCATAAATTGTAGTTAAGTATAGGATTTTCAATGAAATTATAATTAACTACTATATATTTCTTCATAAAATCATTAAAATATATTAATTTAATGTCTATACACTTCACTAAGGTCTTATATTTAGTGTTATTGATGTATTTTTATGATTTATTAAAGTATTTATAGTGTTTCCAAGCATATCTATGTGTATCTTAATTTTTCTCCGATATGCATACGTATCGAAGGCGTAACTCGATACGTCTCTTAAAATTGCCTTTCCGATACACTTAACGTTTCCGATACTTTGAACTTTGCTCCATAGCACAAAAATTGAGTAGCCTGCAACATGAAAATTAATCATGCCCATCTTGCTCATTTCATTCTTTGAGGTGACTTTGCCTACAAAATCGTTGCCTTAGATGTTTACTTTTGTGAAAGTACTTTTACAAAAACGCTTTTATAAAAGTATTTTTACATGAAAGCACTTTTACGAAAATACTTTTATGAAACACTTTTATGGACAAAAGTACTTCCACAAAAGCACTTTTACGGAAGTACTTTCACAAAAATACTTTTACAAAAGCACTTTTATGAAAGCATTTTTATAAAAGTACTTTACCAAAGCACTTTTACGGAAGTACTTTTATAAAAGCACTTTTATAAAATCACTTTTACGAAAGCACTTTATAAAAGCACTTTTATGAAAGTACTTTTATAAAAGCACTTTTATGGAAGCATTTTTAAAAAGTACTTTTATAAAAGAACTTTACTAAAGCACTTTTACAAAAGCACTTTGATAAAAGAACTCTAGAAAAATACTTTTATAAAAATACTTTTATGGAAGTACTTTTATAAAAGCACTTTTACAAAAGTACTTTTATAAACTTACTTTTACGATAGTACTTTTATAAAAGTACTTTTGTGGAAGTACTTTTACAAAAGCACTTTTATAAAACTTTTACGAAAATACTTTTATAAAAGCACTTTTATGGAAGTATTTTTATAAAAGCACTTTTATAAAAGTACTTTTACATAAGCACTTTTATGAAAGTACTTTTACGAAAGCACTTTTATAAAAGGACTTTTATGAAAAACTTTTACAAAAGCACTTTTATTTCACTTCATCCTTTTAACCTTACTTTCTCCAAAAGAAGAGGAGAGAGAATTATTTATTGAAATTGTCGTGTAAAATAAATTAGTGAAGGGTGAAGTTGAAACTTCAATATCTTTGTTATTGAAAAGCTATGGAAATGAAGTATTTGCACTTTAAAAAAAAAAAAAAACTACAGGGGGAGGGTTCTTTTTTTTTGTTAGGATCAAAACACATGGGTGGTTTATATATGATGGGTTAGGGGGTTTATATTCCATCACCACCTTACACTGGCCTTCCAACGGTGCCATAAAATAGTAGAACACTTAGGTGGTGTTTGGCATCCATGATGGTTTCTCCTTGCCGATTGTCCACTAATCACTGATTTTCTAGAATTAGTGATTTTTGAAAAATCATAAAAAATTGTTGTTTGGTATCATTTATGCCATGTAAGCTTATTTTTGAGAAAGTGGCTTTGAGTTTGTTTGGTACTGATTTTCAAAATTTTACATATCTTTCTTAAAATTTTGGAAGTTTTTCTTATATTTCATCCAAAATTTTTTATTTTTAAAATATAAATAAGAAAAATTATACAACTAAAATTATAAAAACATTAAGAAAACAAAAGTTACAAAACATTCTGTCCGAAATTTTTAAATTTCATTATCAGTTCTTAGGCCCAAATCAAGTAGACAAAATTTCTGAATTTTAAACATTGATTTTAATTAAATTTAACACAACGTAAAAAGAGAAAAAAATGGCCAAGCCACAATTGACCAAACGATGGGAAATTCTGTGTAGTTGACATACAGATTTCAGGGGAATTTGCTCTTCCACAATCTCTCAAGTTTCAAGTCTCAAGACTCTCAACGATGAATTTATGTTGATTTTGCCTTATTTTCCTTTTGAGTTCATGAGATTCGATCCCAAGCCTCTGCTATTACCGGGCAGAGAGAGTCAGAGACCTCACCATTCACCCAGGCACCAACGAGTCACCTTAACTCATGGTCAGGGCTGATGGGCTTTGTGTGTAGCCCCAAATCGTAAAAGTATGCTATC